CGTGTCGCCGCGCAGAACGCAGCCGCCCGTGTGCGCCGGGAGGCAGCGGCACATGGAGGGAGGGAAGCAGGGGACAAGGAGGGAGCAAAGCAGCACCCCTGGGGCGCAGGGCCCTGCTGCACTGTGGTGCTGTGCCAACACCATTGCCTGGGCCAGGGGCATCGCCATGGGCTGCTCCATCAGCAGCATCCCTGCAGGCTCCGGGACACCAGCTGCGGTGCTGTCCCCGCTGTGCTGGCCATTATGGCTCCTAATAGCCACCACCTTCACCACCTATTTCCCTATCCCAAATCTCCCCTTTGCATCCAGTCCTGGCAGCACCTTCCACCCTCTCACGGTGCTAGGGTGGGAGCTCAGGAGGTACCTGGCCCCCATTTGGGCTGCTGGGGTGCTTCTGGGTGCTACAGCCCCTTTCCCACTGCAGTTCCCTAAATCCTTTCCCATCCTCACATCAGGAGTGGATGATGATGCTGGATGCACCAGCACTCACCGAGCTGTTGCCACCATGTAGCTTTGGGGCAGTGGATGGCAGCATGTGCCAGCCAGGCCTGCAAATACAGGGTTGAAGGGACCCATCCCCACCAGCACCTCGAGCCCTGCGCTGCCCTGGCACATGACACCCTCAAACCGCAGGGCACAGGAGCAGGGACCCACAGCCATGGCAGGGAGTGGTGACACCGCAGCCACCAGCAACCAGTGACACCTCAATGGCCATTATGGGATGGGGAGAAAGGCCAGGGTGGCCAAGGGGAGGAAAAACATGGGGAGAAGAAACAGGTGAGGAAAAGAGGATGTTTCTCATGATACCAAAAAGCACTCCTGGGTCCTATGGGGAAGTGCAGGCTGGGAGCAGGGAGGGCAGCCTGGGCAGGCAGCAGGCAAGAGGGGAGCAGCCCTTTCCCCTTGCTTGTCTCCCCAGGCAACTGCCATCAGCTTCACTGTGAGGGGATAGGGTGCTGCTGACCCTAGAGCAAAGCCTTGCTCACCCAGGTGACACAGGGAACGTGGTGCTTCTTCCTGGTGTCTCCAAGCAGTGGCTGCTCAGCTGGGCTGCAACGGGTCATGGCGCTTCTAGGGCAGGGAATGAGCACCCATCTCCCTCAGAAAGCCTAAGAGATCCAGGCTATGGGTTGGGGTGGGCAGCGTGGTGGTGCCGCTCGCTGGTGGGGCAGTCGGTGCTCCACCAGTGGCTCTGGCATTTCATGCGCCATGTGGGAGCATCTGTGGATCCACAAAGCAAGATGGGAACCATGAGGCTGCCTGGCTGGGACCCCTCCCATAGCCCCCAGCATCAGGACTGAATGCATCCATCCCCCTGCATGGCACATCCCAGCCCAGGCAGCCGGCACAGCCCGGCATGGGCATGTCTGACAAACAAGCACACGGCGAGGCCAGAGCACAGAGCACCTCGGCACCTCCATCCGAGGGACGCCACTGCCACCATTCCCTGCTGCTGCCTCAGCCCATGGCCTGACCCAGCATGGGAATGTGGGAACATGGGCTGGGAGCATCTCTGCTCCGTTTGGCACCACTGGAGCCCCTGGGCCCATCCCGTTGCCCAGCTGCAGTGCCACAGTGCCACCATGCCCTGCGAACGCTTCCCCCCCTTCCACTGGCACGAGCAAACCCTAGGAAAGCCGGGCTGGCGCAGGCAGGAGGTGCTGCCAAACGGACAAAATCAACAAAGCCATGAAACGGGGAGCACGGTTTGCTCCCCCCTTTCATTCCTGTCCCTGCCAGCAACCGAGGGTGGCAGTGCACGGCGGCGGCTGAGCCCTGACCCGGGTACGTGGTGATGGAAACCTTCTTGAGGAGGATGCTTGAATCAAACGTGCTCTGCAAACGCCCGGTTGATGGGATCAGGATGGCAAAGGGGGCACCTCACAAAACCCAGAGAAAAACCACACCAGAGGCTGAGGAGGGTGAACGCGGCTCCGTTCCAGAGCTACCGCATTTGAGATGCAAATAAAGAGGTTTCCTCCCGAGCAGCAATCGATGCCGAGCGGGCTGGGGACAAAGTCTCTGGCAACGGGGACGCGGTTTGGTGAGTCCTGGCGTGGTTCATTATTAAATCCCTCCACGGATTCATCCCGTCCGCAGCGCCAGGGCCGGGGCAGCAGCGTGCAGCGGGGGAAGCACAGCCAGGACCGCGGCTGGGAGCGATGCGGGAGCCCGGCACCGGCACCCGCAGCCTCCAGCACCGGCACCGGCACCGCTCGGCCTCCTCTGCGGCGCCGGGAGCCGCGGTACCCGACGTGCGATTTGGTAAACAAAGGAGCCGGTGCCGAGCTCCCCGCCGGCCCCACCGGACGCTGCCACCGCGGGGCCCGCGGCCAGGGGCTCACACGGTGCCCTGCGCCGGTGACCGGGAGGGACGCGGGGCGAGAGGCAGAGGCGAGGCTGCGGCTGCAGCAGCCCCAAAACGCGCGCACACAAAAGCCAGCCCCTGCTCCGCTCCGCGCCTGCAGCATCTTCCCGCAGCCGCGCCGCGGCCGTAGCACGGCACCTTATGTAATGTGCACCCCCAAAACACCCGGCCCCGGCCCCCCGCCGAGCCCCGACGGCTCCCCCAGCCCCACGGGTGACCCCCAGCCCGCCGCGCACCCCCCCTCCTCTTCCCTCTCGCCGTCCCCATTATTCCCTTTGTTGTTATTCCGTTTCCACTCCGGAGATGCCTTCAGAGGCAGCGCAGCCCCCCCCGGGCTGCCTCCGCGGAAACGGGGGTCCCGCCGCCGCCCCGAGCTGTCACCGCGGCGGGCGGGAGCCGGGAGCCCCGAAAGCCGCATTGCACGGCGGGGAGGGCGAGGGGCAGCGGAGCGGGGGGTGCCCGGGAGGGACCCCCGGGGGCAGCGGGAGGGTCCCCGGGGCCGGTGTAAGGGGGGCAACACCGGGCGGCCCCGGTGCTGCGGCACTTACCGGGGTCGAAGTGGGAGCTGAAGGCGAGGCTGGGGCTGAGGAACGCGGCCGACATGGCAGCGGCGGCGGCGAGGCGGCCCATGGCGAGGCGGCGGCGGGAGCCTCACGGCCGCCGGCTGCCGCTGGCCCCGCGCTGGGCACGGCGGCGGCGGCGGCGGCGGCGGCTCCTCCTCCATGGCGGCCGCGGCGGCCCCGCGCCCCGTGCCCCGGGGAGGGGCCGCGCCGCCGCCGAGCAGCGGGATGGGGCGGGCGGGGGCGGCAGGTGGCGGAGCCGCAGCACCGGGACCCGCACCGGGACCCGCCCCCCGCGGGCGCACGGAACCCGCCGGGACCCCCGCAACGGGACCGGGACCCTGCAATGGAGCCGGGACCCCCGAAGGGGGGGGGTCCCCGCCCGGCCCCGCGGAGCTGTTCCGGTGCTGACCCGCCCCGGGCATCCCGGGACTGGGGCTGGGACTTGGGATGGGACCCAGTGAGGGTACCGGGGACAGAAGCGTCCAGCGTGGAGCTGGACGGGACTCGGTGATGGCACCGGAGGCAGGAGACGGCTGGAGCTGGACGGGACCCAGTGACAGTACTGGGGATGGGAAGGGCAGCTGTGCCCCCCCCACAGCCCCAGCACAGTCCCCCACACCCCAGGTGGACACCCCTCATCCCCACCACTGCACTTCAGCCCCTAAATCCAGCCCCGGGAGCCCATGGACTAGGCAGGACCACACAGCCCGGCCTCATGTGCTCGACGCCCCAGCCCCGGCACATGGGACTGCACCCTCCAGATCCAGGGTGCTCTAAAGATCAAACCCCCGTCAGACACCCCAGCAAAGCTGCGGGGTCACAGTGGGATGGTCCCATCCTATCCCCATCCCTGGGATGGTCCCTTCCCATCCCCATCCCTTAGACCCCATCTAGGAGCTGCCGCTGCAAGACACCCAGGCCAAGGGTTCAGCTCTTAGCCCCGGGCTCGCCTTCCCCACAGGGGGATTTCGTATTTAAAGCCAAATTTCTGTGTACACGATTAATTTTTCAGCAGGGCTGGAGCTCGCAGGGAACACCACGCGGCACATGTCACGTTGCCGCAAATAGACACAGGCCTGGAAGAATTACAGGCTGCTGGGAGAATAAACACGTTCCCAGGAGCCGGAGCCAGCTTCCTTCTCCCAAACCTCCATATTTCCCTGCTCCAGAGCAGCTCCGACCCTTCCCAGCACCCAAAGCAGCCAAGTGAACGTGGCACTGCCCCGGCACGGTGCCTGCTCGCTGCGGGTGGATCTGAGCTCTCTTGGAGCTGCGGTGGCATCGGCACAGCCAAGCCCCGCTCCTCATGTGGCTGAGCTGGCACCGGCTGAGTCACGGTGAGCCTGGGTGGCTGCGCAGAGCCCACACCAGCACCCATCCAACCAACCACCTTCAGCACCCGAGCACATGCAGCCGGTCCTGACTGCAGGAGGAGGATGAGCTCGAGGCCTTCCTAATGCTGGCCATGGGCAGTGGTGGCTTTGGTGGGTGGTAAGGGATGAAAGGACCCGGCTGTTGTGGCTGGGGGTGGCAGGGAAGCTCCCCAGTGAGGCAGCACTGGTGCCCAGCATCCCATCCCACCTGGCATGCAGGAGCCCAGCACATCCCGTGTGAGTAGGAGAGGGGTGGAGGACAAAGTCGAGGTTGGAGTATGGATGGAGCTGGAGGATGAGGTAAGGGATGAGCTGATTCATGGGCCTGGGAGGGCACAACTCGGCTCCCCATCTCCACCGGTGCCCCAGGCATGGTCCCGCACGCCCTGCTTGCCCAGGGGACAGCCCCGGTGCTCAGCCCCAGCAGCTGTTTGACGTAGCCAGGAGCAGGACGGAGCCCAACCCCACCACCGCCCCAACCGCCCTCCTCACACCCAATTCCTGACATAGCTGTGAAAGAGAACATCCCAAAGCAGAGCTGAGCCCCAAAGCCCCAGCGCGGATCCCCCCAGGCATCACCCGGGGTGCAGCAGGGACGGTCCCAGCCCAGCAGAGCCCAGAAGCACAACGTGGCTGCATCCCAGCACGTGCCGGGCCGGCGAGCAGCACCGCATCCAGATTAGCAGGAGCGATTACCCCGCTCCGGCTTCCCGCTGCTCCGTCTGGGGCCGTGGTTAATCCTTCCCGGGGCAGACACCAGCTTGAGCCGCGATCTCTGTGCGGCGGCTGCCAAAAGGCCCCTTGAGCTCCTGACCTCCTTCCCGGGAGCCAAGGGGCTCCTCTGCTCATCCCGGGGCTGGGAACCAGGGTCCTTGACTGGGGCTCTTCAGCAGAGCCTGCTACAACCACAACAGCAAACGGCCCTTCTGAGTCCAGGGCTAGGGCTGGTGGCAGCCCCGGTGTGTGGCGACCCCGGCGCGGCAGCGGGGCGCAGGCATCCATCCGGTGAAAATCTGCATCCTGGTTATGCAACGGCACTGATTTATTCATGCCTGAACCGGGCACTGGCCTAGAAATTAGCCCGGGTGACGCTGGGGAGAGGCAGGGCTGGGAGGAGGCTGGAGGAGCGAGTCCCACGGCCAGGCATGTATGGCACAGCGGGGACCGCGCATGGGTGCTCACCCCACCGCCAGTGATGCCAGATGGGGCAGAGGGTGCTGCCATCCTCTATAGGGTCAACAGGGCACAAGCCCCCCAGGAGAGGCAGGGACGGGGTTCACCCCCTCTTCTCCCGCCCCGCATTCCTCACGGTTAAACGAACGTAACCAGGGCAGCTTTGATTTCACGGCAGAGCCGGGGGCCGGGAGCAGGAGATGGCAGCAGAAGGCTCAGGGTGGCCCGAGCAGAGCTGGGAAGGGGCGGAGGACGGAAGCGGTGCGCAGGAAACGCTCGTTAGAAAGAGCAACAACAGCGGAACGAGCTCCGTGCCCGGCCTTTCCCGGGAAAAGGGGATGAGGGCTCCTCCCTTGCCGGGATGGCAGAGGGGCAGCCTGCGGAGGGGGAAGCCACACCGGCAGTGCACACGTTCCAGGAGGGAAAGGAACTGAGCGGGCCCCCGAGCACCCCTAACGTGGGCGGTCAGGGGTGAGCAGCACCCTGGGCTGACCCGGGGCCGCACCACCCCGTGCCAGGACAAATGCCAGCACCGGGAAGCACCGAAGCTCCTCAGAAGCTTCCTGGGCTGACAACGGGTCCCTCCACCCCTCAGCCTGTGGCTCCGGGGGGAAGGGGGCTCTGGCAGCGCTGCCGTGGGGGGGGAAGGAGCCCGCAGCCCACCCCACATGGCCCAGCGGAGCGGATGGGAAAGACCCTGGGATCGGGATGAGCAAACATCTGCTCCCCCCCGCGCCGAGCCCCAGCCTCCTCGGAGGGAACGGGCTGCGGAGGAGCAGCCGCACGCTCCCTGCCGAGAGGAAACAGATGCGGCCGGCCCGGCCCTGGTGCTTCCCCTCGCTGTGCCAGGCGATGAGAGACGGGCAGGTAGCAGAGGCTGCGGGACCACATCCTGCCCCGGCCCGGCTGGTGAAGGGCGCTGGCTGACAGCAGGATCCCAGCCTCAAAAACCCGGCGAGAGGAGGCTCCTGCCACGGGGAAGGGCTCGGGCTGCAGGAACAGAGGGAGGGAGGGTGGCACCATGAGGAAGAGCAGCTCATGCCCTGGCACCGCTACACATGGGAGGGACAAAGAGCGAGCAGTGCTGGATGCCAGCAGGGCAGAGGCTTCCCCTGTTCCCAGGGGACACAAACCAAACCAACAGCCGTAGAAACCAGCACAGATTTATCTTGAGACCACAACCCCTGAACGCATGGAGGCTGCTGAGCCCATGGCACCAGCACCGGCACGGGGCTGCGGCAGAGGGAGGGCCCGGCCCCATGCACCCAAGCACTCAGTTGGGGGTCAGGAGCTGCTTGCGTTGCTGCTCCAGGAGGGCTTCCAAGCGCGTGGCTCGCTGCACGGCTGCCTGCAAGAGAGCAGGGAGAGCTCACAGCACCCAGGGCAGAGCCGCAGCACCCGGGGCAGAGCCAGCCCCGCACTCACCTCGTACTGCCTTCGAAGGCTGCTCACGCTCTCCTCCTTCCTCAGCACCGCTGTCTTCACCCTGAGCAGAGGCACACAGAGGGGCTGAGGAGCCCAGCACCAAGCACGGGCTGGCCCCATGCCCCAGAAGGGTGATTCCAGCACTGGGGAGTGCAGTCCCTCTCCTCCAGGCGCTGCAGCAAGCCAAAGAGCAGCAGCTCCGGGGCTATTATACATTAGAAGCATCCTAACCCCCTTGGTGAGCACTGTGTAGTTTGGATGGAGTCAGCTATAGGAAGAAGGGGATATCAGCCTCACAGGAGTGAGTTAACAGCACCACAGGGAGGGGATTTTAAGTTTCTTCCCATTTCTCAAGGCCACGGTTGCTGCCTCATGGGTGGACTCTTCCCCCCAGCTCCCAGAGCATCAGGCTTTGCTTCAACCTTTGCCAGGCTGTACACAAGGGACGGGAGCAGAAAGGGGATCCTTGTTATCTCACGCTCAAGGTATGAGCCTGGCTCTCAGGCAGCGGGAATCCCTGAGCAGGATCCAGGAAAGCCAGCGAGCTCCATGTGCGCTCCAACAGCCTCCCTGCTCGAGCAGCTCTGCACAGACAGCGCAGGAGGGAGGGCTCTGCACCACGCAGGCACAGCTCCCGCAGGAGACATTGCACTTCCCCTTCCCATTCTCCTTTCACTTGCAAAATTCCTCCTCCACAGGCAGACACCAGGGAAGAGGAAGCCTTATGTCAGTGCCTGACACGGAGCCTGGCGCCCAGCACCATCTCCACACCGAGCACAGGATGGAGCCGAGCACCACAGCCAACAGCCCGCAGCTCCAGGGCACTTTGGGGGCACCCCTGAACCTCTGCGGTACCCACAGCAGAACCCTGCAGGAGCTGACCATGAGCCTGGCTGCTAAAGAACCACCCCAGAGCTGCGCCCCACTGGCCTCTCCCGCAGGGGCCCCGCGCACTGCTCCAGCTGCTGTGGCCTCAGGCACGTGAGGGAGCAGCCCCGGGGCCAAGGCTGCCCCAGAGCAAGTCACAGGGGGCAGAGGATTCGGGGTGGCTGAGCCGGCAGCGCGGGTGAGGCCCTGCTGCCCATCCTGCCCTGAGGATGCAGCGCTGCAGGAGCTCTGCACCCGCAGCCCCAGCCAGGAGCCCAGCCTGGGCAGCCCCACCTCCTGTGAACCTCCTCCAGCTCTTTGTCCTTCTCCTGCTCCAGCCTGTCCAGCTCCAGGCGCTGCCGGGTTCTCATCTCCACCATCTCCGCCTTGAGCCGCTTGTTCTCCTCCTCCAGCCCCACGAGCCTGTCGCTGAATTCCTGCCGGATCACCTCGGCCAGGCCGCCCCGCTCCTGGGCCAGCTCGTCCCGCAGCTGCAGCAGGGGCAGAGGGGGCATGGAGGCACCGCGGGGGCAATGCAGGGGACAGAGGCAGGCTCGGCTCCGCGCTCACCTTGCGGATCTCCTCCACCTCCTGCTCCTTGTGCTTCAGCAGCCCCTGCAGCCGGATGCTGTCCCCCTCCAGCTCTGCCAGCCGCCCCTTCAGCTCATTGCAGCGCTCCTGCAGCTTCCGCTCCGATCTCTCCAGCTCCTGGAGCTCCACCTCATACTTATCCCGGATCCTCTTAATCCTAATGGGAGGAAAACACAGGCTCAGCCCGGTGCTGCCAGGAGCACCCCAGCCACCTCCATGGCTCACACCCCGAGCTCACCGGAGAGATGCTGCGGGGACAGCAGGGGAAGGGCTCCCCCCCACCCCGAGGAGCTGGGGCACGGAGCTGGGGCACGCAGGCTCCCTTCTCCCTCTCACCGGTTCTCTGCTGCCCTCTCACACTCCTCCCTGGCCAAGGACGTGTCGGCCTCCAGGCGCCGGATCACCAGCTCGATCTCTTTGTCCCTCTCCTTTTTCACCTCCTCCCGCAGCTCCCGCTCCCGGGAGAGCAGCCAGGCTTCCTGGGAACAGGGACGGCAGACGCTGCCTCTATCCCTCTCAGAGCCCAAGGGTGGCACTGCTGGAGAAGGGCAGCCCTTGCCGTTACCTCCTTCTTCACGTAGCTCGCCTCCCAGGCCTGCTTCTCCATCTCCAGCCGGTCCTTCAGCTCCTTCACTTCTGCCTACGGAGAGACAACAAGAGCTCAGCCTGGAGCAGCCCCAGCGCCATCCCGGTGTGGATGGGGGGGGCTCAGGGGTGCCAGCACGGGTCACCACAGCCCTGTGCTGGGGGTTGGACTGCTCACACCCAGGAAGAGCAAATCCAGGGCCCAGAGGTGAGGGGAAAACCAGACCTGGTGCCGCCTCTCCTGCTCCTCCTTCTCCTTGGCATACTCCTCCTTCAGCGCCCTGGTGAGGGCCGAGCTGCTGGCCTCCAGCTGCTGCCGCAGCTCCTCCACCTCTGCTCTCTGCCTGCCCACACACAGACACAGCTCCCAACATCTGCAGCTCCGACGCCTGCAGCAGCACAGCCTCACAGCCCCCTCCTCAGGCTGCTCCCCATGGCCATCCTCAAGCCCAGCCCTCTTCCCACCAGGACAAACCCAGCTCTCTCCATCCCTCTCACCTGGCTGCTTGCTGGCTGAGCCGCTCCCTCTCCTCAGCCACCTCTGCATAGAGCCGGCGCCGCTGCTGCTGCAGGGCCTGCTCCTCCTGCTCCAGCTGCTGCTCACATCTGTGGGGCAGAGCAGCCTCAGGGGTGGGCCCGGCTTTGGGCATTCACTCGCTCCCCACCTTGCCCCATCCCATCCCTTCCACAGCCGACCAGGAGCTGCTCTGATGCTGGAGGATGCCCCTGGGTCCCACCTGGGGCTGCTGGGGAGAAAGGGGCTGCTCCCCTCGGGTATGAACTGCTGCCAACAGCAGGAGCACGGCTGCTGGAGCCCAGCAGCCCCAAGCCCCGCCGCAGGGACCCACCTCTGCCGGGCGCGCTCCCGCTCCCGCAGGCTCTCCTCCTCCTTCTCCCTCTCCAGCAGCCCCCGCAGCTCCTCTGCCTGCCGGCCGTAGCGCTGGGCCGCCCGCTGGTCCGACTGCAGCAGCTCGGCCTCGTGCAGCAGCTTCAGCTTCCGGATGTCCTGCTTGTGCTTGGCGATGAGCTTCTGGATCTCCGGCTCCAGCCCTGCGGCAGCG